CTTATTACCCAACTCCAGTAACACGCGCGTAGACTCGCAACTGCTAATCAACAAATGACCTCTCAAGACGCGCAGACGTTTGTGCTAAGTCAGTTGCTCACTCGTGGGTCACCTACACATGGAAGAGCCGGAAAACCTTACCACACTTTATACCTGATACCTTCCCATAGTCCCATATCTCAAATCACACCACTTTATGCAGAAATTCCGTCAGAAGCACTAGGTACAAACCTAGTAACGTCAAACTAGACCCCAACCACGCCCATTTTAGATGGTCAGACATCTAGTTGTCCACAGAGCATGCAGTAGTCTGCAATGCAACTCTAGTTTCGAGCTTGGCCAGCAACTGATGAAGGTTGATGAATCTGCACAGCGAAAGGGCAAAGGAGACACCGCACCCGCCTGCTCAATTCTCAAAGGTAATTCGTCCGATGGATGCCTTTCTTTGAATGAATTTCTCGGACTCAGACCGATGGCCATTATCACTGATTTCTCGCATTATTAACACTTGTGTCTAGCTTCCTCTCCCTCATCCTCAGGTGAAACTAGCCCCTCTGATCATTTCATGCAGATTCAGATGCTAACTTGCGAAGTGGCTTATATAGTTGGGTTCGGTAACGTCGGTAGCGATTTTGATAAAGTTTGAGGGTTAAGCTCAGATGAAATGTCTCGAAGCGTACCAGTCACGACCAATTAAACACATCTGGGTTGAGAGAACATGTACAAATCAGTTCTGAGGATGAGCTTTCCGACGCCTGAATGTAGCAGAATTAGTTGCGGGTGCAGCAGAATTTTGGCCTTGTTGCAAACCAATTGTATCTGAGGTGGAGATTGGAAATCGTAGACGTGTGCAAGTGATGACTTGAATTACCCTAAACCTGGTGACAAGTCTCGACTAAAGGTTGAACCGCATTGATCACTAAAAATGAACTAGTGAATCTCTAAATTTCAATCTGGAAAAATCTGAGATTTGTGGACCCGTAGACGGTAGTAATCCCCGTCAGCACATAGCCGACAATGTCATCCGATTTTAAACGAAGGACAAGCCCATCAAGCTGAGATTGAGTGTTGTAGTTTGTAACCTCCTGATTGTTTCGTATTTTCTGCTTTATCCTTTGTGAGTACAGATTTCTTTGAGGAACTGCGAGGAGCGTCCTGTGAAGAGTTGAATGCTTTTCCGAACTTTCTAAACAACGTTGTCAATCAGAAGAGATCGCGATCTTCTCCTTCAAGATCTAGCTCAAGGATATTGAAGTTCACGCATACGTAGACTTGGAATGGAGCTTTACAACATTTTTCGGTAGACAACTAAGAATATCACACAATTCATAATGCATTGCATCAATAGTTTATTGCACTCATTAGCTACAGGACTCTTAGTAACTTTTCAACGATGTTTCGAACTTAAACAGGAAGACGAAGTCAAGAAAACCTCCACAACAGTGTCCTCCTGCTCTGAACTGGATCATGGGGAACCACAATACTTTCTGCAAGAATCGTCGTCGACAGGGAATGATGCAGCAACTGTCGGTGAACACGTTTCTGTTGTGGGAGAAGCTGAGAAAGAGTACATTGGTAATAGCACCCTGCATCAAGAGTTAGAAGCGTCTTTCCATCGAGGGAGTCAGAGCTTCACTGCTCCATCAGAAGTAGAAGAGGAGACATCAGCATTCGGCTCTAAAAGAGCATTTCCTGATTTGAATGAAGCTGACGCGTTACCTGAAAGCTTGCCAACAAGCAAGGCTCAGCGACTAGCAAACTTTACAGGGGCTATCCTCGGTGCACACAGCGATCCACCAGTTCGAAAGGCTCGAGTCTCTGTTCGAACTCAATCCGATTCTACAACTGTAAGGCGCTGCACTGTGTGGTTCTTCGTGTTATGTTTTCATGTAGCGATTTGTGTGAAGCATTGGGTATTTCTCATGGTTGCTTCCGATTTCTGGTGTCAGTGTTATTTTTTAGTGTACTAATCCACTCTCCACCAGTGCAAGCCCGTTTGCATGCTGCCTTACCAAAATGGAGCCTCCACGTAGTCAGTTGGTAACTGCCGATTAGAAAATCTGAGAATTAAGTTTGACATCATAAGTGTCGATTCACTAGAAAGATCTCATGTCTACTGAACGAATTAGTTATGATACAAAGTTGAATAGATGATACAGAGCAGTGTTTCAATTTCTTATCTACGGGTCCTCTCTAACTGCGGTCATGTAATCCCAAAACAGAATCGGTTTCAGCTCCAAGCTACAATCTGAACGTTACGGTCACCATGAAGTTATGTCGGCACAAACCAGGAATCAATGTCTGACTTGCTTTGATCGACAATGTGCAGATGAACGATGGATGCCAGTGGAGAAAGTATGGCCAGAATACGGCGAAAGGAAATCTATGCCCCCGGGGCTTATTACCGTTGTACTGTGGTGCATTGCTGTCCCGTCCGCAAGCAGGTACTGGATATTTGACGAGCTTTGTTTCATTAATTTTATCAGACGGAAAAAAACTATTGGAATTTTCTATTATCTGCTCTACTTGCATGCAGGATTCTGTGATAACGTGTGCTCACTGTAGTATGAAATTTGGACACTCTTGAAATCTGACGGTTGCGTCATGCACACTGGGGAAATCATTTTTAAGGTAAGGTTTCTCGTCTCCCAGTGGTTGCAGCTAGAGCTGCTTAGCAAGTTTTCGTAGCCGACTTAGTTTAAAATCTATCCAAGTCGAAGCTAGCTGATAAAATAAGTTGGAGTATGCAGGTCCAGAGGTGTGCACACGATAAGTCAGTTTTGATTACAACTTATGAGGGTACTCACAACCACCCCATCCCTCCTGCTGGAACTGCCATGGCATCTACAACTTCCGCAGCTGCCAGTATGCTTCTCACGAGCTCCAAAACCAGCGATGTGGCGCGCTTGGCCGGAGTTCCCTAGCACTATCTTAAAACCGATTCTCAAGGATGCGGCTCATCAGATAAAACCTCCACCTTTGCTTCTTTGACTCCGATACCTACCATCACCCTAGACTTCACCCGGGATCCCACCACCCAACTGTGCCTCCGCCTCGGAGGCTCCAAGACCGCTCCTGCAACACGAAACCATTTCGAAGCAAGTCGCGAGACCAAGACGTTGGATCTTACTACATCAAAAAAGCTAGATAACCTAAGCAGCACTGCACAATTCTCACTACCTTGCTCGAGAAACTCTCTGCATCGAGTGCCAAAAAGCGTCCAAACACAGGCGGCTCCATTGTCCTCTAGTTTTAGCCAAGCTAGGCAGCAACAGTTGTTTGTGATGATGGCGTCGATCATGTGCCCAGGCAAGTACCGAGGAGTTAGATTCTTGTATCGGATCGGTAAGTGCCGCCACCTCTGCTATCACAAACAATCCTGAGTTCAGTGAGGCATTGGCAGCTGCTATCAATACATTAGTCTCCGAAGAACCCAGTCTAAGGCGATTGTGGGCAGAAGTGTTTCCCTTTCAACAGAGATAGCGGGCTGTCATTGGCTTGGCCCCAGCGAGCAAACAAGGACTGGTGGACATTCTTAACAGGAATTAGATTCTGATAAAAATTTGGCAAAATTAGGGCTTGCCATTTTTGATGGTGCAACTGGTGCTGCTTCCTGCGCTGGTGACTTCTCTAGAAATTTTAGCGGCTGAAATTCTGGTTGACGACTTTACATAATACATGGTTCAAGGTCTTATTTGACTAGATTGAAGGTCTTGAGGCAACGTGCTTCATGATGGAAATGGTTATATTATCCTGTTCGGACGAATAAGTGTCAGGATTGTGCAAACCTCGGAGAAAATCATTTCTCGGATTTCAATCCAGAATTCAATGATGACTGAAGAGAGAATATAACTCCTAATCTGAGGCAATGGCTTCGAGTAAACCATTATGATTCTACGGCAATTAAGAGTGAATGGCAATGTATAACAACACTGCCCCAAACTTGATTAGTTGATGAATAATTTCTTACAAATTATCATTTGTAAGATTGCGATCGGGCAGAGGATTCTGCTCCCCACTTGCTCCCAAGCTTGGGCGACTGGCTGGAGGCAGAATTTTTCTCATATAAATAGTCCTACATGCTGAAAACTTCAATGTTGCGAAGAAGTTTATGATATCTAGCAGGTCACAAGTCTGAACCTAGATGACAATGCCAACTTCTCTTTATTTTTCTTGTTTATTCATTTCCCCCTTGCGACATGAAATATTGCATCTTCCCTTGTACTACAAACGATTGTTGGCATGTTGAAAATTTTCAAACCATCCAAAGCTCTTCAATGGGATGAACGTGTATTTTATCCTGCCATCCTCCCAGGTAAGTAGTCTGGGTGGTTTATTGCTAGCTGGAGAACAATTAGTGCAGCAGGAATACATTGGACATTGTGAAGGTGAATTGGAGTGAGAGAAGTAGCGTTTTGGTCAGATGTGGGATTCTGCAGTGATGACAGTCAACTTTAGATGGATTTTTTAATTCCTCAGCTTAAGAAAGATCCTGTGTACTTTCCTCATCATCAAAGAATTGTTCTATTGCAAATAGTCAGTACTACCTGAGTCCGTTCCAAAAGCTACTTTCTCGTTGGGAGTAACTCATGACAAGTACTCATTCAGAGAATTCGCTTCTTTTGAGCTTCCTTGCTGAAAGTCAGAGATGTTGTGCTTATTGAAAGCATGAGTCGGTTTGAAGACAGAAAACGGTTAATTTGTGTTATGAAGAAACTTTTCGACTAATTCTGCTTCACAAATTTGGAGAATGAGCCATGTTCACTACACAATTGTATTTTTAGGGCGAGAGTTGAATTTGTCTTGGAAAAGAAAGTACGATTACTCTTCAGAAGGGACGGTCGACTCACTGTCGGCCGCCAGCATGATAGCAAATTCCTGTACCTTAGACCATGCATTATCTGAAGTCTGCTGTATGGGATAAAGACGTGTATCAATAACAATATCCATCAAATGTCTTGCCAAAGGGTCGGACTTAATAAATGTGTACCCACACGTGCTTTGGTAATATGATATCGTATGTTCACGAGGACATTGATGACATTGCACAACTTATGCATTGGAGGAAATCTTTCATTCAGATGTAACAAATAGGTGAGCTGAGCGAATTCAATTCAAGGGGAGACGGTGTTAATCGGAGCCTATATGATACACATGCAGTAGCTGGGACTACAATGATGCACGCCATGATTCCCCTTCGCTAGTTACCCTAATATTGAAGAATCAAATGAATTCAATAGGAAATGCCGTGCTTGCTTCTAAAGAAGCAGGTGATCTCAAACGCAATGGGCGAAGAAGACGAGATAAGACGTCAGTAGGAGCGTGACAACTGTAGCAGGTTTCATTCGTGATTGCCGCAGTGCATTTGATGTCGGCGTAGGTTGAGGTGGTGGCTGGGGGGTTGTGCCCTGCTCCCACAGTAATACAGTATTAGTGCACGGCATTAACTCACAGCCTTATTCATCACTAGAGAATAGGACTAATGAATAAATACATAGTTTCATTACCATTGCAAGTTGAAGAAAAGGGTGGGTATCTGACCCTGCAAAAGATTGAAAGAACTTTAGAAGGACGAGAAATACTCACTAAGGGTACGATCTCAACTTTCTGGCCACTGTCACAATGTCCTGGGAGAGTGCAAACGAAGAAAAGCGTCGAATCTGTTGGTTTGATGGTATACTGTCCATCCAATCATACCGATGTTAGTCACCAACATAACCATCCCTACACAGAGTTCTGCAACACAGTTTTGCAAAGCGGTAACGGCAACCACCAACTACACTTCGTAAACTATGAATTCCTCAGGAAAAGAACGGCGGTTGTGACCCCTTACGGTAGTAGGAGATCCATCTGGGACTTGTACTGCTCCGTCGAAGTCGCACTTTGTGAAGGCAGTCTTATTCCTTGCAAGGAACACAGTATGTGTGCCTCTTTCATACTCAAAAACTGAAGCCAAATTGCATTATAATGTGTTATGAAGACGGACGAACATGACCACGAAATTATGAGTACTTAAAACACTAGTTCTCAGAGAGCATGCGCATCTTCACGTGACTACCTGAAAGGCAATGAAAATAAATTCCCTTCAGATTTGGGCTAAAATTCACGCGAAATTCAGTGGCAAGTCTTTTTACACCGCCGAAATGTATCAACAAGACCCTAACAGCATAGGATACTAGCTTCGTTCCATCACTAGAATTCAGCAGCAGCGTAATATGAAAAGTTGGTTGCACCGGAAGCTTACTGAGTGTGTCGCCCACAGAAACTAGAACAGAATTTGTCCAGCGTTGATAACTACTTAACAGTATTTCAGGTCTCAACAGTCCGCCTATTGTATTCGTCCAGTAAGTGCTGCCAGTGCTAGACTCCACGTAACCCGCTCCCACAGTAAAATTTGCACCTTCAACATAATGAAGGAGACCCATATTTACACATACCGCTAGTGCAAGCCCCACTTGGACGATAATGGGGATACTTGATTTTCTCCGTAATTGTGAGGCCATTTGTACTCTCGAAGTCTCAGTCTGAGAGTAGATCTTGATATATGCTGCAATGAAGTCACACGGAAACATAAACGAGGAAGTGTTACTCTGCAACTGTAGACAAGCTCTACGCAAAAGAGTCGTCAACTTCAGATGTGAGGCATTGCGCTAATCACGTTGCCAGAATGTGGGAAGAAACGGATTCTGCCACCCGAGCGCAATCCATAATTTTACGTGAGAGGATTTCCATTAGAAGGCAATGTTACAGAACTCTCCTATACTGTAACTGATGACCGTAACAATATTGTAGTGCCTACATGTGAGAATGGCGACTCGAATCAGCGCCCAGGAAGCTTTAATGAGTATTCACAACGAGTAGCTGCAAAGACATGAGCACGACTTTGGGCAACATCTACGATCAAAAGATATGGCTTGATTGTGCAATACAGAGGGAAGACCCTAAACGGAGAAGTGTAGGGAAAGCGTGGATCTCCGAATTCAATTGACCTTCCCCAGCAGCACACCGAGCTTTGAAGCAAATAGCACCGCATCATCCAAACCCAAATATGAATATCCCGAAGTTAGAAGTGAGGGAAATGGGTTGTCAGCTGAAGGACCTTACTGGAATGAGCTGCAAATGATACGCAGCGAATGACACAAGATCTTCAATCCAGTCAAATAAAAAAGAAGGTTTAGAACTCACATTCCAGGAGAGACCCACTTGTATCTTCCGACCTAAGGAGCCTGGAAAAGCAAATGCTCGCAGAGTTTGATCCACCGCAATACCCCGTCAAAGCCCTTGCTGCTCTCCACACCGTTTCATGCTCGGACAGGTCGGACCTCAGCAATCTCACGCGAGGAGATGGCGAACTTGCCTTGGGGATTCTAAAGCGTACTACCTACGAAAAACAGCTTTCCTCGCTTCTGTCCTCCGCTATATTAAATCACTTTGTTCGATATAGCATTTTGTCAACTTAAAGAAGTATCTCCGTGCCAACTGTTCAGGTTCAGGAACCAACTAAAACATGGAAAGTATGTTGGAATAGGTAGAATGCCACCGAAAGGAACTGAATTTGCATCGATTCGCAATCGAGAATCACGGGAAACACTGGAATCGTTACAGAAGCTGCACTAATCCATGACGCGTACCCATCACTGGCTTTTCCACTGGATCCGGTTTTGTAGGCAAAAGTTGACAACAGATCTCGCAAGCTAAATGCAGCAATTCCCGCCTTATTAATCTGAGCTTCAGGGGAGTGCCAAAAACCGCTGCATGTCGGTGTTCTCTCATTGGCCGTAGAATGTGCCACGCCCACTCGAGCGTCTAAATAACGAAACTACAAAGACTTCCATGTGCTCAGGTGAGTGGATTTTTCCTAATAAATACGCTGAAATGAGATGCAAAAACTGCGGGTAATGCTTTGTGGGGGTCTCCTGGCCCATCGCGGTGTCGCTGGTCCGCATTCACCTGGATGGATCGAGCGATCTCGAAACCAGTTGCAGCAGCCCCATGGCGCTGCTTAGGTGACATCCCTGAAGCCTCCCCAACTTAGAGACCCACGTGCAATTGCAAGCACAACCTGGGACTGCAATTGCTCAGAGTTCCTCGTGTGGTTACAACAAGACATGAACTTGTGTCATGAAGCAAATGTGTATTGAGATTGTGTTCAGATATGCATTTCCCTGCCAGTAGTTGATGACAATGTGCCTTTCTGTGCCTCTAGGTGTATGGTTGATTTGTTTGTGTTTCGTATTCTTGAGGTATGTGTTCAGTCTTGAGATTTGTGGAGGCGTCTTGTCATGGTGGGGCCCTTACTCCAGGGGTTCAATCATGGCAATTCTGCAAAACCAAATAATTGGGATTCAACACCTGATATATTCAAGACCACTTGAAATATCAAATCCAAAATATCATTGTTTAATTTTTTTTTTCTAAAGTTGAGGCATGGTATTAGGCAGTGTGGTATGGAGTCAAAGAGGGAAGACAACTGAGGCAAGCAACATGGCCCTCCACCTCGCAAGGTAAGTGATTAGGTGATCAAGTGTTGTTATGAAATATCACAAGATACTTTGAGATCTCATCATGGGTGAAATATCACTCAAAAATGCCATGTTTAAACCTCCCTACTATACGGTTTTGTACCCCTCTACTTATGCAATTTTGAGCTTCTTCTTGTTCATTATTTTTTCAATAGATTTTTTATTTATTTTTTATTTTATTTTTATCTTGCTCTTGTACTATTTGTATTTAGTTTTGTTTTAGATTCTTAGATTTTAGCTTGATATGAGACTCTCTACAATATTTTCATAATGAATATCTTAAAGAATGAAAGTTTTTGAGCATGTCTATTCATCTAAATATAAGATAATGTATTATATCTAAAGTCTATAATGAAATATGTAAAAAAAATTATTTTATTTTACACATTGTATTGGTAGATAGAATTTATATTAAGATTAGAACTAAGATTTACAATTAGATTTTAGATTAAGATGTTAGAATTTAAGAAGCTTAGGATTAATCATTAAAAAAAATTATACTCTATTTGTTGTTTAATAAAATTTGATGACTTTAAAATATTTTTAAAAATTAAAATATAATTTTTATAATTATAAAAATTATTTTTAATGACGATTTTATTTTTATTTTTATTTTTATAGACTTGTAAAGACAAACTATCAAAAACAAAAAGCTTGTCTAATTTAAAATATTGATACTTAAGAAAAAAAATAAGAAAGAATAGTTCTACACTTATATATATATATATATATATATATATAAAGTTGTTAATGTCACATCTTAATTTTGTTAAAGCTACACCCTACTCTTCACTTCATAATTCATTTTGTACATGTCTTTTGTTTCCAACTCCATTTCCAACCTTCCTCTTTTGTTTCTATTCCATCTCTACTATGCCCAACTCCACCCCATCTCTATTCCATTCAATCCCACTTTGTTCCCACCTTTGTCCAATGTCACCTCATCTTTACCTCCATCTTAAAAGTTTTTTTTATTATTATTTTATTATATAATTATATAATTATTGCTGAGGATCTTTATCTTCATTACATTGAAAAACAACATGTTCTTGAGGATCTTTATCTTGATTATATTGTCTTGAAGGTTGTGACAATTATAATGTCTTGTCCAATGAATCAGCAAGTGATAGTTCTTGAATTAAATTTGTTGGTTATTGGTTTTCCATCTCCTTAGGGTCACAAATATACAAAAGTTACAAAGTAGAATAGAAAGAAAAATACTATCTTTTCTAAATCTTCTTTCTTGTATAGTAAAGATTTTTTATTCTTCACTTTGCTTTTGATGGATATTGTCAATAAAAGGCTTCAACCTTCTTTATTACATTTATAAGATTCTTTTTTGGCTCTCATATGCATTCACTAATGTGAGCTATAAATCCTCCGTACTTTACTTTAAGAAGAGAAATAACTTCACAATAAGTTTGGAAGGTAGTAGAGATTAATTGTGAGGTTACTTTAATGGTTGATTAATTAATCAATCAATTTATAATTATCTAGATAATGTCTTCTAAGCAATGGTTACCATTTCATTTAGAACAAGTGATAAAAAACAAAATAAGAAAAAAAAAAGAATTATAAAGTACTAGCAAATAGAAGTAGTCAGATGAGAAAAAAATAGATAGAACAAGCAATTGGATGAAAACATGCACTATTGGATGGAAATAGGTGTAGCTGGATAGAAACAATGTTTTTAGATGAAAACAACACAGTTGGATGAAAACATGCTCAATTGGAATGGAAATAGCATGATCGGATGAAAATAGCACTACTAGATGGAAGGTGCACAGTCAGATTAAAATAGGTGCAGCTGGATGAAAACAGCATAAGGGTAGAGCAGCAACAGCAGCCACCACTAGGGTAGAGCAATAGCAGCAACAAAAAAACCTCCCAACTTCATACCCTCATAACTTTTTCATTTCAATTCTAAATCTGATGATTCTTTCATCTAACCTTACTAATTCTCTCTCCCCTACACAATGGACATGTCTAAACAAGAAAATAATCTCACTAACAGTGAGCTCCAAGAGGACCAGCAAGAATATGGAATAAACAACTTATAACATAAGTTTATAATAAATAAAAGTACTACAACTCTTTGGTGCCTCAATGGGCCACCCTCACCAAGGGCTCAAACCAAAGATGAGAGAGAGAGAACAAGGCTTTAAGAGGGCCTTATATACCCAAGCCTTCAAGCCATTTATCAGCAATTAGCATTATCGGTAACTTACAAGTAAAAATTAATTTAAGAGCCTTCCTACTAGCTAATCCATGCAAGTAGTACAACTTGTAGATAAGAAGTCAACCTATACCCTCCATGATCTCCAACCAATGCCTTATATGGAAAAGACCAATGATTGGCATCCATTTGCTATAAGATGATGAAAAATCACCATGGATTTCAATCAATGCATATTTTTTAAATCCCTAATCACTTAATTAACCAAAATATCTGCAAAATAATTTACCAACTTAGACATATTAATCTTTGGAAGAGATTTTCTAGAAAATGACTTGATTTGTTGTCATAGGAGTAATGGTTGAATAATAGAATAGTTCTCTATTTTCTTCCCTCACTATCACTTATGGTTTTAAGAACAAAGTAATTTTTTATCTTTTTCCCTCACCATCACTTGTGTCTTCAAGAGTAGAGTAATTCTTTATCTTCTTTCTTCACCATCACTTGTGGCTTCAAGAGTAGAATAACTTTCTATCATTTTCTATCATACTTCAACTACAACTAACTTCATTTTTTCTAATAACCTCTAATTTCTCACAATTAACAAATAAATAATATTATATTTTGTCAAAACACCAAAAATTAAGTAAATAAAATTTTGGTGCATTATTTTGAACTCACAACTAATATAATATCTGCCCTAATGAACAAGATATTCTAACCTATTTTGGTGCTACCTTGAATCTAATACTTCTTCCACCTTAAATTCTTGATTATTATCAACTTCTATAGGAAGAAGTACTATCACAAATATAAAATCATACAAATACTATCTACTATCACAAATATAGAATCATACAAACCTAAAATTAAAAGATTTATAATAAAATCCATAGAAACAAAAGACCATGGTTGTTTCGAAATAGGTAATGGCTGAAGAAGTTGATAAAGTTGATGACAAGGAATTTTGGATCTTGAATAAATATCACATGATTGTACAAAGTCTTTGACTGTATTTTATATTTGAGGCCACCAAAAATTTCTATATATTAGCTCCAAAATCTTGTTGTATCTAAAATTTTTAGCTGTTGGAAAGTTATGATGAATTTAAAGAACACATAATTATGCTTTGCCTTTTGGAATAGATGGTCATCCCTTGAAATAGAATAGATTATTCTTAAATTTAAACTTAGAAGTATCATGAGACTTAATAGAATTATTCTTGATATTATAAACAAGGGGATCAGAAGACATACTTGATTGAATTTCCTTGACAAAGATTGAATCAATAGTTAATGTTGATTTTATTAGTCAAAGATGAAAATTCTCTGACTTCAAGAGAATTATTCTTTATTGAATAAAAGTTGCATCTCTTTTTTTTGGTACAAGATAAGAATGTTTAGAAAAGACATCTTTTAAACCTTGTTTTTTTTTTGAGTCTATAAGTGAGCTTAAAATCAAATCTTGATTAAGACATACTTCATTAAGCTTTGCGACAATTCAAAATATGTGCCAAAATAAAATACTCAAGGTTCTTATAATTTATATATTTAATAATTAGATTAAAAGCACCTTTTAGATAATGATGCCATTTTAAAAATGAATCCACAATTGCAAGAAGATATTTACTGTGAATCTCCTAATTAATCTTAGCTACTAAAAATTTTCTAAAATAAAAATCTATCAAATAGAACTTATCATTTTCTCTTATTTGTGATAAAACAACATGTATAGTAGAGTCTAATGCATCTGTTTTTATGAAGAATGCCGTAAAATTGATGTGATACAAAATTGGTACAAAAATAAATGCTATCATCAAACCTTTAAAAGATGTTTCAGCTTCTTTACTTCATTCAAATTTTTCTTTATATGTCAAATATATAAGAAGAATTGAAATTTTAAAAAAAAATTAATAAAAATTTGAAAATAATTAAAAAATACTAAAAAATATTGTATATCTTTGATTTTTTTTGGGACCTTCCAATCTATGATAGTTTAGATCTTTTTAGAATCCATCATAAATCCTTTATTGAAAATGATGTATCTTAAGAAATAAACTTGAATAGTATGGAATACACACTTTTTCATCTTTG